TAAAAATAAAATTAAGAAGCTCTTCACTAGGAGAACGACATTATCACAAGGAAACACATCGGAGTCCACAACGATGACAAACCCAAAAAAAAAAAAAAAAAAAAAAAACCACTGTCATTTTTAAACTGTTCATGTTTCATATTTCTACACCGAGCAAAATAATCCAGCACTTTGTTACCATATATGCAATCATAAATTCGTTTAACTTGGCAAAACATACAAAGTCCCGGACCGATGGTCAAAAGATTTTTTATTCTTTTTCCAGTACGAATAAGTTATAGTAAGGAACAAAGTTAGACATTATGGGAAGTACCTCCCAAGACAACATGGAAGAACACATTATTAGTACACAAAAAAGTGAGAGGATTGCTATATCCTCCGAATTCGGAATGGATGTACAGTCCGAACTTTTAAAATATTAATATTTTTTAATAAATTTATTATTAAATAATTATTTAATTTAATATTTTATAATTTAAATTAATTTTTTAAATGTTCGGAATTCGGACAATTCATTCGGAGGAAGATGCAAAAATTTTGAAAAAGTGATTATGGGACGCATACACCGAACCTCCTAACCCCCAAAAACAATGTCAGAAATGCATACCGTAAAAAATTCAGGTGTTGATGCAAGTACTGATCCTCCAAACCAAACTGCAAATCTCTGGATTGGATGACTGACTACATTTACCTCCACTGGCTGCGACTGTAGGCTCCAAATTTATGAAGCAAAAAAAAGAAAACGTAAATGCAAGACTAAATCAATATAATATATAGCAGTCCAGCCTGCCATAAATAAATTAATGTGACAATTTTGACCATGCATGTGTTGTGTTGGGCCTGTCAGGCGGGGATTTGGGGGGCTCAATTTGTTTAGACCTTGCCAGCACATGTAACCAAACCAATCAACACATCACTATTTTCAAAGTAAAATTATTATGTGCCAAAAGGACTTGAGTAATTATTTAACACTACCTCTAGTCTTAAGAAACAAATAACTAATCTATCAAAATCGATATAAGTAGTTAAATTAGTTATACATACTCATATAATTAAATGATTTAAGTAGTAGTTATATTTAATGACACTATTTGTAATTTAAGAGATAATATTTTTAACCAATGGGTGTGACTTATATTGTTAATAACTCAATGAATGCATCTATTTTCTTGAAAAATGAGTAAACATTTTATCAATAGACTTTACAATAAACTAAGGGTATAAAAGAAAATTAGCAATTCAAGTATATGTTTCTTATAATCAAATAAATGCTCTCATTTGTTTCTTATATAAAGAACCAGAGGTAGTATAGTATAAAATAATGATGTATTGATTGCTGATTGGTTTAGTCCATACAACTTGTGCCACAGTTTATATAAGAAGTTCTCATCCATGTGTGCGGGAGCAGGAGGGAGAGAATCATTAATTTAAAGATGATTTAAAGGTGCCTATTAACTTACTTTTATCTCCCCATTTATGCGTGCTTCAGATGAAAGGACGCGGGCATCCACTATTTTTTTAAGATCACGTTGCAACCTTCTATGAAAATCCTTGAACATGGTTGAACCTCCGGACAACACTATATTCTGAAATAAAAAAGACAAAATACGCAAGAAGTAAAGACTTTAATCATTAATTAAAGAGCTTGAAATTCATATGATCAGAAATTAAATATCATGGCTGGGCTGATGGACTGATGCAACATTTGACACTGATGTACTCAATATAGGCCAACAACAAAAAATTTCCTGAGCTTAACATTGAGCCTTACAAGATACCTAATTTTATGATTAGAAGTGATGATTCACTAAATTCTAAAAGCACTCATGGGACTTATTAATTGACATGTCAGTTAGTAGGGGTACTTCACCTTATATAATGATCTCCTTGTGTCAATTGGTGCAGACTGAATGCACTTGTCTATTACAACTGGCAAAGGGGTGGTAAAGTTGCTGCTGCCATATATCTCAGGATTAAAGAAAATCTGCAGAAATCATAGAGAAAACATACAGATATGTTAAATTGACTGATCCTGTTCATATAATGACAACTGAACCAATAGAATAACTTCACAATTACATCAAGGCAGTACTACTACAGTTTCACGAATTCTTCATTATAAGGTACAAATTCAAGTGGATTCAATAGCTATAGCTAAGTGCTACCAAGACTCTTATAGATAGAGAGTAAATGATCAGTTGATCTCAGCTTCAAATCCCATCCAGACTATACTGCCAGCATTTAAGCCTCCCTTGTCCCTTCCCACACTAGTACTCGGATAACTTTTATAACCCAAAAAGGAAAAGGTAAAAATCCTGACCTTCCAAGAGAAGGTTCAGAGCAAGGCAAAATGCGTTAGTATATTTTTACCATTCCAATTTAGTCCCCTCTGCTTCAATAAGATATTAATGATAGGAAGTCAGGAAATAAACAAGTATATTTTTAGTTAATTCATTAGTTTTCATGAGATGATTTCAGGTATCCATAACGGAAAAATATACTAAAAATAGGTAAAAAGTATATTTAAATATCTTCAATCCAGAGCCCCTCTACCCCCAAAGACAGATTTAGCAATCCATAATAGAGAAAATCTAAAGAGTAGCCATAGAGCAAACCTCTGGGCCAAGAAATCGCTCATAACCAATATCACAGGAATATGGTGCCCCTGTCTTTGGTTTAATACCTCTCCAATGCTTGATATACTTGGCTGGCTCTTTATCATGCTTATTAAATTCCTGAGAGAAATTGAGGAATTGTTATGTAGGAAAACTAACAAGTTCAAAAGATAACTTTAGTTACATCACTTGATTCACACACACACACAAAAAAAAAAAAAAAAAAAAAAGCAAATCAAAATAGTGAGAATTTCTTGACATTCAAAATGCTAATGGAAGAGGCAACAAAACTATGGCAGCAGATGTGCGCCACAAACTCCTAAAATGATTTTGTAAAAGAACCAAGTATTGAACTGAAGACCACCTTCACAATGTCAGAGCAGGTGTAGCAATACATTTCCTTCACTTTCCGCGCCACTTCAAAAGAGTCTTCTGGTGGTACATTCTCTCCTCTTTCCTGTACGAAGCAATATCAACAAGACAATTATTAAATCCATCTTAGCAAAACACAAATTGTCAATTAGATACAGATTATTAGTTTATTACAATTCAGTCAGTTCAATAAAAAATATATATAGCTAATTACACAAATAACTTTCATACTCAATCATGAAATATGTAAACTTCACTTCTATTTATTATCTACTAAAAATGTAACAATAATACTATCACAAGTGCACCAAACCCCGTTCATCCAGATTATACATGATTGGTTTCACTAGCTAGTATAAATGGTAATTAATGAGATCCTTCAACATTAACAAGAGATTGACACAAAGTCACAAATATTCAAATATAAGAACAATACCAGCACATTAACCTTTTAATTTTATACCACAAAGATAACCTACCCGCATAAGCTGCTGAACAAAAAGGGTAACATCCTTTCCAGCAATAGGAATCGATTTGATGCTACTACCAATAACATAACCATCTGCAACAGGTACAACATGAGTAGCCCCATCTCCAACATCCACTACAACTCCTGTCATCTCACACTAAAAAGAATTCCAGATCAGCCTAAGAGGAAAATATTCTTAAAATAAGACAGATACAATAAGAAACAAAATTTCTTGAAAGCTCTTACGGCACTGTTATTAAGTTCAAGTATAATTATACATAGTCAACATAGCATTTTGGATTTAACATAATGAGGGTAGCTGATGAATTATTCTATTCACTAGTAATGATGCAAAACCACCACAACAGTTCATATTCACAGTAAAGTTCACTTTGGGTTTCAAGTAAAAGCATCCAAAAGTGTCAAATTGCAGGGGCTAATGAAACATTCTGAGCATTTTGTGTTTAGATAGCTACCAGACTCGTTGCTGCTGAGGCCATAATAAATATGTAAAGCATTCAAGATTAATCACACAACTCCAATTCTATATTCAACATAATTCACAATTTTTTTAGCGTGTACCAATTACCAACCTTAGACGTTGTGTATCCAGCGGCAAGGGCAAGCACAGAATTCACAGCAATGTAAAGTCCAGGCACGTTAAAAGTCTCAAACATGATTTCCCCAGTATACTCGCGACTCTCAGGCGCGGTCAACGGACTCTCAGTCAAGAGAAAATAGTGATCCTCCGGATCACACCTCAAATAGTTGAATATGCACTGCTGCCAGAAGCGCTCCATGGCATCCCAATTCTCAACCTGACCATGCCGAATCGGGTAGCTGAGATTGTAAGTACTGCTAGATCGAGACTTGGAAAGTGCGTCATCCCCAATGAAGAAATCAAGATCCGCCATAACCCCAGCATTGTGCTGGGCAACCCAATTGCCTTTAGAAGAGCTCCTAGATTGATTCAGAAACGACTCATTAAGTGCAACCACTGTCGGAACAATAAAACATGGCTCAACATTACCAGCAAACCCCATCTTCGTATACCTGCAAAAAAAGACACCATTTTCCAAATTCAGAGTAAACCCAAGTCACAAAAGTAAGCAAACATCGGTGGAGCATTTCAACAAACACGTGGTGTCCATTATCGATGCAGCAAAAAAAGCCACATATTGCGTAGAAGAAAAACTGGGTGATGGAAAGGGAGGAAAAGGGTACCCGGAGCCATTATCGATGACTACAGCTGGACGAGAAGTAGACGGGTCCATGAGAAAGAGCGAAAAGCTGGAAGTGATGGTAAACGGTGAAGGTGGATCTGCAACTGAGATCCAAGAGTGAGTGTGAAGCAGAGGATCATGGTCGTGAAGAGCACAATAAGGAGGAGGAAGAAGGAGTAATAGGTGTAGGTGATGATGTTGACGCAGACTTTGACTGGAAGTGAAAGGAGATAAAAAACAAAGGGGAATGGTTGGTGATTGGTAAACCCATTTGAAGTATAATCTCAAGAGAAGAGAGAGGGTGGAGGTGGAAGTGGAAGTGGAAGTGGAAGTGCAGGTCCCATTTACATGTTCATCATTTCATTCTCTTCTGTTCGTTTCCCAAAGATGCTTTCCTTCCCAATCAAACAAAATGAACAACAACGACCCTTTCTTTCTCTCTCTCTCTCTGTTGCTTTCTCTTTCTTTCTTTCTTTCTTTTATTTTTAATTTAATAATTACTATTAATGAATTTTGGGCCCCAAAGCCCAACAGCAGTAGCTTTCTATTTTCGATCACGGCAATTTCAATTGTCGTTGGTTGGTGTGTGTACGACCCCCTGCCAGATTCATCTTAAGCCCTGTAATAGGTTCCATGATCGGTAAATAGTTTAATTTTTTAAGATAAATACTCGACTTTCTCATTCTATTCATTCAATGAGATAGAACTCAGAGTTACGCTTCTCAATTCGAAAATAAGCTTTAATGTAAAAATAAAAATAAAAATTGAAGCGGTGTGATTTGAACTTTTGAAGGATCTGTTGAGGGGACCCACCTAACAGGAATATGCAAGTGGTTTCATTTCTTTCTTACACGCAAACCTTTTCTCTTTCCTGCTGCCTGCTACATGAATTCACGAACCTCCATTTTACAGAAAAAAAAAAAAAAAAAAAAA